GGGCTGCATGGAAATCCTTTCCTCGTTAGGATGGAAGCTTTGCTCCTCTTAGGCTGAGCTGCCTGCCCGGTTTGCAGCGGGCCAGGCCGGATGTGTCTGGGCAGGAGCAAGGGCCAGAGGCTGTCTTTCCAGCAAGTCTCAGGGCTTGTGAGACCCTGGTCCGAAGGCACCCCTGCCCCAGCGGAGATGTTGGGCTCGCACAGTGCAGTGGTGGGAGCAGGTTGCCCACGTCTCCCGGTCCAGGGTCCCCGCCTGGAAAGTGCAGATGGTCATCGGCCCGGAGGCGGTGGCCGGGTGAGCAGAGCAGACACTCAGAACAGTGCCTCGTCCATAGTGAGCGCTCGGTAACGACAGGCTGCTTCAGTGGTACTGTCATCACCACTCACCTGGGCGCTTATTTTCCCTTGTTTGCAAAGGACACAAACAGGCCATGTGCTAGGGTTGTACTGCTGGTCCTCTCGGGGCTGGGTGAAGTCATGTGACTGGTGTTGGCCAATTAGATGGGAGCAGGAGCCACGTGTGTCCTTCCAGGCCTCGCACTGAATTGTCTGTGCCACCCACACTTTCCACGGTGCTCTCTCTCTCACTCTCTCTTTTCTCTTTGGCCTGGTGGCTGCTCTGTCACCTGGGTCCCCGGGACTGACAGTGATGAGACAGGTGCCCTCCCCCCCACACACACACACCCCACTGGAACTACGATGCGTGTAGTATGAGCAAGAAATCAATCTCTGTCCTCTAAAGCCACCGAGATTTGGGGGTGTTTGTTGCTGCAGCAGAACCTAACCCACCCTGATTAAAACGGTCAGAACCCCCTCAGGCTCAGCTGGGAGGATTGAAGGATTGAATCTTCCACGTGAGAAGCCCTGCACACTGTAGGTCCACGCTGGTCATGTTCTGATTTGGCTCCCTTCCCGACCGCAATTCCTTCCCGATTCTTTGCAACAAGTGTTGCTACATCCTTCATTGGGCATTCACAGACCTTGGCCCCTTACCTCCTGCCCGCGCCTTCTCTGGGCAAGGCCAGCCCCGTGCGACCTTCCTCCGGGAGCGGTGCGTTCGCAGCATCTATCCACTTGCAGCGCCAGCTCCGGCTCCCCAGCCCCCGGAGGCTGCCGCCAGCCCGGGACTGGCCATCAATCATGGAAGCTGAAGTGGCTGCCCTTGGTCAAGTGTGCTTAACGTGCAGGTGCATTAAGTGAAAAGGCTGGAGCACGAGGACGGGGCAGGGAAGCAATCGCCCGCCCCTCTGGGTCTGCTGGGACCTCCCGTCCCCTCCCAGGCAGATGGGCGGGCTGCGTGTAGGGCAGTGATGGCGAACCTATGACACGCGTGTCAGAGGCGACACGCGAACTCATTTTTTTGGTTGATTTTTCTTTGTTAAATGGCATTTAAATATATAAAATAAATATCAAAAATATTCATCTTTGTTTTACTATGGTTGCAAAGATCAAAAAATTTCTATATGTGACACAGCACCAGAGTTAAGTTAGGGTTTTTCAAAATGCTGACACGCCGAGCTCAAAAGGTTCGCCGTCACTGCTGTAGGGTAAGGTCAGGACTCCCTGCCCACCGGGGACTCGGGGTGTGTGTGGCACATTTGAGAGGGCAGCTGGGAACCAGGTTGTCTCACACTGTGCTCAGGGTGTGGAGGTGGGGATTCTGCCCTGGGGGTGAGCTCAGGGGTAGGCTGGCCCCCCACCCCATCTCCCCTTCCCGGGGAGCTGATACGGGGACATCCTGGGACGGCCTGAAGAGGAAGGGCAGTGATTGCCAAGCGGCGTATGAAGCAACATCCTCACCCTGCCCAAGCCTGGCTGTGCTCTGGGCCAGCCGCCACAGCCAGCCCATCCCCTGCAGGAGAGATGGGGCTGAGGTGAGGCAAGGATGCAAGGAAGGGGTGAGGCCCAGGGCTGGGGCGGGGCCGGGTGGCAACCAGCAGACTAACCCCGTGAAAGCAGAGGCGTGCGTTATCTAAATCTCGGGACAGTCCTGCAGCCTTGAAACCTTTCACACACACACAAAGAAAAGCTGGAAAACAAAATCAAAATAAATCCACAACAAACATACGAACAGTTCTAATCCATTGCATTTTAAATGCAAACCAGGGCACATACATTTTTGACTATATATACTTTTTTTTTTCCGTAAAGAGGGGGGGCCTGTGGAAGGCAGGAACAGCTAGAGAAAGGGCCCATTGTCTGGTAGTTGCCTCGTATCTGGAATGATCTGTGGCCCTGATTCAGTTACAGTGGTCATACCAATTTTCCTTTCAATTAACGATTAGATTGGTGTGCTTAATAGGCTGCTTCGTTTGTTTTCCACTTGAAAATGGGATGGATGGCTACGCCTGCACCCCGAGGGCTCCCTGAGGTCCTCGCAGACACGGGGGCGGGGCCGGCATCTGAGCCAGCGCGGCGCTTGTGGTGTGTCTGCCCACAGTCCCAGCCTGGGGTGGCTGTTGCCCCAGGCAGCCTTGCATGTGTGTGATATGTGACTAGTGCCTAAGTCCTTGTCATTACAGTGCCAGGAGTGACCCAGATCCAGCCGGCTGGACAAAAAAAAAACGACCTCTAGTGCAGCGGTTCTCAACCTGTGGGTTGCGACCCCTTTGGGGGTCGAATGACCCTTTCACAGGGGTCACCTAAGACCACCGGAAAACATATATAATTACATATTGTTTTTGTGATTAGTCACTATGCTTTAATTATGTTCAATTTGTAACAATGAAAATACATCCTGCATATCAGATATTTACATGACGATTCATAACAGTAGCAACATTACAGTTACGAAGTAGCAACGAAAATAATTTTATGGTTGGGGGGTCACCACAACATGAGGAACTGTATTAAAGGGTCGCGGCATTAGGAAGGTTGAGAACCACTGCTCTAGTGTGTTTTTTTTTTCCTGATTATTAAAATACTATCCAGTCATGAACAGATCAAACCGCTTAAAAATGGCCAGACAGTGAAAATCCGCCTTATTCCAAGCGGAGGTTAGGGCTGGGGCAGGGGTCGGGAATGTCTGCTGGGCTCCTCAGTGACATTGGTAATGACAGCAACGCGACTAAAGCAGCTGGCGGGGTAGGCATGCTAGGCCCCGGCCGCTCTGAATGCTCACCGCTTCCTGTCTCGTTTAATTCTTGCAACAACCCTGTGTTTATAGGATTGTCGTCATCATCCCTTTATGGTTGGAAAAGATAAAGAGTAGACCAGGGAGGCACGTTAACTTTCCCAAGGTCTCACAGTAATGGCTGAGCTGTCCTCAGGGGCCCTGAGCCTAACCACTGGCTTTGACGAACTTTGACCTTTCCTCCTGGCGGCTTTGGCGCAGTCCTGTCAGTGCCGCTGGGGCAGGGTACCGCCTCCATATGCTGGCTGCCTCCCCCTTCTGGCCTCTCGCCCGCCTGTTTGCCTGCTTGCATTTGTGTTGTGCATGCGTGTTGAGAGCATGCATGCCATGTTGGCTTTTGCCTTCTTAGTCCTCAGCATAGCCTGCCGGTCTCGAGTTTTTGGATGGGTGGCCTGTGACCCTGGTAGTCTCTGGGGTCGTGTGCCTGGAGGACCCCAGTTCTGACGGCTGGCTAGGGGTCCGTCTGCGGTGGCCGGAACGTCCAAGGTGAATTCCTCACTCCGACGTCTGGAACATCACAGGGCGACTTGTGCCTCCTCACAGTATGGCTGCCGGCTTCCTCCGCTTTGAGGGCTGGCTTCCCCTGAGGAGCACTGGGAGAGGAATGGAAGCTGCCAATCTCTGAAGGCCTGGGCCCAGAAACGGCCTCAGTCACCACGCAGCCCAGAACCTGCTCGGGGACACCGGGCTGTCACAGGATTTGTCCATCTTCACTCCACCCACCGGCCTGTGATGGTGCCCTGCCTGTGCCCCGTCTCCCTGGCCTTTCTCTTCCCTGAAGGGCCACCCTCGTTCCCACCCAGCCTTTGCACTTGCTGGCGCTCCATCTGGAACCTTCCTTACACCCATCATCACATCCTGGCTCGTTTCGGTTCACACGTCCCCTCTTCCGAGGGGCCTACCCGAGCCCACGGGCTTCTTGCCGCGCTCCGTGGCTCGCTGCTGTTGAATTTTCTTCAAACTTCCAGGAAGTGGAAATGTCCTGTCCACTGGTTGTTGCCTCGTGTGCCGGCCACCCCGAGCCCGGCCCCATGGAGGCAGGAACCTGGCTCTGTCCGTCCCTGCCTCCCTGCCGGCACCTGGCCACTGGGAGTTGTTTGGGAAACAGGGTGAGTGAGTGGCTAGGAACCTCATTACCCGCAACTTAGCAGGGGGCCTGGGCCTTTCCCACTGCCTCTGGCCTCTGTGAAGAGCCATGAGCTGACACCCTCATGAGGCCCGCTGACTCCTGGCTGGTGGAGGGGGCGGGGAGGGCCAGCGCTGCAGCCAGACATGGGGCAGGCGACCCCGGAAGCTGCCGTGCCCGCCCCTGGTGCACTTTTCTCTCAGAATCCGGGCCATTCACTTTGGGGGAGTTTTTTCTGCAGGTCTTGCCCCTTAGCTACTGTGTTTCCTTGTGCACGCAGTTAACTTCAAGGATGGTGAGCAGTGAGCTGGAGACATTGTTATTTGGTGGCCCAGCGCCTCCCTGCAGGGGAGGGTGTCGGTGGGGAGGAGGTGCTGCCTGAGGTCCTTCATTCAGGGCCTCTAAACAGGCTGACAGTTGCCACTCTGGGGCCTGCAGCGTCGTGCAGTTACATGCTGTGCCTTAAACCCATCGAAGCCAGGACGACGCCAACGCTCATGTCCACTGGGAGTCCCCCAAACTGCCCCCAGCGTGACGCACGGGCCAGAGGCCCCTCGTGACGGGGTGGATGGAGTCACTGGGGGAAAGGCCACATTTTGCAAAGTGTGTGACGACTGAGTGACAGAAGCCAGAGGATTTAGCAATCACAGCATCGGGGAAAGGTGTTGCAGGGTCCGGAATTCAGATTGGGCAATGCAGCCCTGGGGGTGGGGAGCATCCTGCGGGCCAGGCCGGGCCAGGGCAGCCTCTGGGTCCCATGACACCGGTCCCAGGGCCAGGCTCGGAGGTCGTGCCCTGTAAGTAATTGCCAGTGAGTCCCGGCCGGTGTGGCTCAGTGGTTGAGCGTCAACCTATGAACCAAGGAGGTCACAGTTCACTTCTGGGTCAGGGCACATGTCCAGGTTGCAGGCTCAGTCCCCACTGTGGGGCGTGCAGGAGGCAGCCAGTCCATGATTCTCATCATTGATGTTTCTCTCTCTCCCACTCCCGTCCTCTCTCTGAAATGAGTAAAAATGTATATTTAAAAAAAAAAAAATCTTGTTCGCAGCCACTCGCCCTGGGCTGCTCCTGTGAGGAGAGTTTGGGGTTTGTGGCTCTGGGAGGGAGCTGAAGGGACAGCTGCTGGGGCCCCGGAGCTGAGTCCCTTTCCCGCAAGAGCCCCACCTCTGGACTCCCTCTTGCGCCACCGGTGTTGCTTGCACCCTGCCGACGAGTCAGCGATCTGGGCCAGGGTTTAGAGGTCTGAGTTGTGTGGTTTTGGGGTGGGGGCCATTCCCCTCACTTTCCTCTGAACCTGACTGGCACCCTCCCCATCATGGGAGATCCGCTAACCCCACCTTCTGGGCTCCCAGCGGCCCCACCCGCCCCACTCCTGGCGACTCCGCCCTGCTGAGGTCTGGGCAGAATCCAGGGCAGACTGGGTTGTGTGGCTCTGGGCGGTGGCCGCTCGTCCCGCCTTCCCCAAGCCTGGCTGGCACCTCGCCTTCTCGGGATCCACGAGCCGCGTCCTCCTGGCTCCCGCAGCCCCACCCGGCTGAGCTCGGGCTCCTTGGGCAGAGCTGGGTCACCGCGTTGCCGTTGCGTGGCTCTAGGACGGGCACACAGCCAAATTGTGGTCTGTCGGTCTGTCTGGGGCTGATAAACTCCGCTGACCTCACCCTGACAGCCCCACCCCACCACAAAGTTGTTCGGGCACCCAGAGGGTGGCAGCTGGACTTGGTTTACCAGGGACGTTTGCCGAGTGGCCTCAGACCCAGCGCCGGCGCCGGGTTTGAACCTGGATCCGTCGGGTGAACGCCTACTTGCTCCTACCTGGTGACTGAGAACCGGTCTCATGTGACTTGAGCAGTGCCAGAGAGTGACTGAGCCTCACGGGTGGAGGCAGGCAGAGGCGGATCTCGGGGGGCCTTGGGACTCTTGTTGGCCTGCCCCTGGCCCCTGCAGCCAAGGTAGGTGCCCTTGACGGGGAATTGAATCCGGGACCATTCAGTCCTCAGGCTGACGCTCTATCCACTGAGCTAAACCGGCCAGGGCTATTTGCTTGTTTTTTGTAGCCACGGGAGGCACAGCTTGGACCCGCCCGGGGGTGGCTCATAATCAGGGCAAAGACCTTTGGCTCCAGAGTGGATCCAAACTCAGGGGAGCAAAACCAGGTTTCTAAGGGCAGGTGAAGCCAGCCGTTCCGCCGTGTGGCCCTCGAGATGTAGTCAGTTGACATGAGGGACAGAGCTGAGCAGAGAGGAGGGGTGGGGGCGGGCCAGGCCACAGGGGAGTCAAAGTCTGTGCTTCCACCCCCAAGTCACTGCATCAAGAATGGCCCCTCTTGCCCTAGCTGGTGTGGCTCAGTGGGTAGAGCATTGGCCTGCGGCCTGAAGGGTCCTGGGTTCGATTTTGGTCAAGGGCACAAGCCTGAGTTGTGGGCTCGATCCCCAGTAGGGGGCATGCAGGAGGCAGCCAATCAGTGATTTGCTCTCATCATTGATGCTTCTGTCTCTCACTCCCTCTCCCGTCCTCTCTGAAATCAGTAATAAAAGAAAAAGAACGGCCACTTTCACCTGTGTCCCTGTCCCCGCAGGTTGGCTCAGCATGTCGGTCAGCGTCCACGAGACCCGCAAGTCGCGGAGCAGCACGGGCTCCATGAACATCACGCTCTTCCACAAGGCGTCGCACCCCGACTGCGTGCTGGCCCACCTCAACACGCTGCGCAAGCACTGCATGTTCACCGACGTCACGCTCTGGGCCGGCGACCGCGCCTTCCCCTGCCACCGCGCCGTGCTGGCCGCCTCCAGCCGCTACTTCGAGGCCATGTTCAGCCACGGGCTGCGGGAGAGCCGGGACGACACGGTCAACTTCCAGGACAACCTGCACCCCGAGGTGCTGGAGCTGCTGCTGGACTTCGCCTACTCGTCGCGCATCGTCCTCAACGAGGAGAACGCCGAGTCGCTGCTGGAGGCGGGCGACATGCTGCAGTTCCACGACGTGCGGGACGCGGCCGCCGAGTTCCTGGAGAAGAACCTGTTCCCCTCCAACTGCCTGGGCATGATGCTGCTGTCGGACGCCCACCAGTGCCGCCGGCTGCACGAGCTGGCCTGGCGCATGTGCCTGGCGCACTTCGAGACGGTGCGGCAGAGCGAGGACTTCAACAGCCTCTCCAAGGACAAGCTGCTGGACCTCATCTCCAGCGACGAGCTGGAGGCGGAGGACGAGCGGGCGGTGCTGGAGGCCGTCCTGCAGTGGGTGCCTGCGCCCGGCCGCGCAAGGCGGGCCACACGCTGCTCATCCTGGGCGGCCAGACCTTCATGTGCGACAAGGTCTACCAGGTGGACCACAAGGCAAAGGAGATCATCCCCAAGGCCGACCTGCCCAGCCCCCGGAAGGAGTTCAGCGCCTCGGCCATCGGCTGCAAGGTCTACGTGACGGGGGGCAGGGGCTCCGAGAACGGGGTGTCCAAGGACGTGTGGGTGTACGACACGGTCCACGAAGAGTGGTCCAAGGCGGCCCCCATGCTGATCGCCCGCTTCGGCCACGGCTCGGCCGAGCTGGAGAACTGCCTGTACGTGGTGGGCGGACACACGTCCCTGGCGGGCGTCTTCCCCGCCTCCCCGTCCGTGTCCCTGAAGCAGGTGGAGAAGTACGACCCCGGGGCTAACAAGTGGAGCATGGTGTCGCCGCTGCGGGACGGCGTGAGCAACGCGGCGGTGGTGAGTGCCAAGCTGAAGCTCTTCGTGTTCGGGGGGACCAGCATCCACCGGGACATGGTGTCCAAAGTCCAGTGCTACGACCCCGCGGAGAACCGCTGGACCATCAAGGCGGAGTGCCCCCAGCCCTGGCGGTACACGGCCGCGGCCGTGCTGGGCAGCCAGATCTTCATCATGGGCGGCGACACGGAGTTCACGGCCGCCTCCGCCTACCGCTTCGACTGCGAGACCAACCAGTGGACGCGGATCGGGGACATGACCGCCAAGCGCATGTCCTGCCACGCCCTGGCCTCGGGCAACAAGCTCTACGTGGTGGGCGGCTACTTCGGGACGCAGCGGTGTAAGACCCTGGACTGCTACGACCCCACGGCGGACACGTGGAGCTGCATCACCACCGTGCCCTACTCGCTCATCCCCACGGCCTTCGTCAGCACCTGGAAGCACCTGCCTGCCTGAGGGGCCCCTGCGAGCCAGGTGAGCCCCGGCTCGGGCCTGTCCCGCTCTGGGAGGGGCAGCAGGTGACGGAGAGTGGAGGGGTGGTTCTGGGACCCTTTACCAGAGCCAACGCCTTCCTTGCAGCTGACCTCGAGCAAAGCAGGTGACCCCTCTGCAGGGTGGGGTACAGCCTTAGGCTGGGGGGGCGTTCCCAGACATGGCTGCCTATCAGAACCGCCAGGCTCTTCTGACAATTCTGCACGGAGTCTAGGCCACTCTGCCAAGTCCGAGGGCACACTCTCTGAGTGACCGTGTCCTCGCTTCTGACTCCAGCTGCGGTCTAGGGGCTTCCCAGAATGCACTGAGGCTGTCTGTTCACGGTTATGTCTTATTACAGGGAAAGGGTGTAGATTAAGATCAGCCACGGCCAGAGGTACACAGGGGCGGGGCGGTCAGAGCACACAGCATCCACAAAGCATCGCGTCCTCTCCCTGTGGAGTCAGGACTGTGCCTGTCCTGGCCTCAGAGAGAGACGATGCGCAGAGCACACCGCCAGCCGGGACCTCACTCACGCCCAGCCCTTAGGCAGGGTCACTGGATCGCCGTGTGGTTACAGGTACACAGGGGCGGGGCGGTCAGAGCACACAGCATCCGCGAAGCATCGCGTCCTCTCCCTGTGGAGTCAGGACTGTGACTGCCCTGGCCTCAGAGAGACGATGGGCAGAGCACACCGCCAGCCGCCAGCCGGGACCTCCCTCACGCCCAGCCCTTAGGCAGGATCACTGGATTGCCACGTGGTTACGAGGTCCCAGGTCAGCTGGTGCAGCAGGACCAGAGCCCCAGCCTAAGTCACATGATGGCTCCACTCCCGCCCTCAGCCAACACATGCTCTCAGGGGTGACATAGGTCACCTCCCAGACCCAGGGGCAAAGGCCAGGCCTCTGTTTGGACAAGGCCACGTGCTGGGCCGCACAGAAGGCCACACCCCAGGGCCTCTCCAACCCGGGTCCCGTGAGAAAGAGCGGGGAGATGGGGGGTTGGAGCGGGCACCCCGGGAAGCGGTGGTGCTGGGCTTTGGGGGCAGGCGCCTGGGACTGCCCACCTCTCACCTGCTGGATGGGTGGAGACGTGGGTTTGCCGGGAACCAGCCTGCCCTGCGCAGGGCTCGCTCCCCTCTTCCCTGTCCGAGTCCGTGTGAGGCTTCCTCGGGCGTGTGTCCACGTGGGCGTGCTGGGCCGCACAGAAGGCCACACCCCAGGGCCTCTCGTGTGCAGCCGAGAGGAGACCAACCCGGGTCCCACGGGGAGATGCCGGGGTTGGAGCCGACACCCCGGGAAGCAGTGGGGGTGCCGGGCTTTGGGGGCAGGCGCCTGGGACTGCCCACCTCTCACCTGCTGGATGGGTGGAGACGTGGGTTTGCCGGGAACCAGCCTGCCCTGCGCAGGGCTCGCTCCCCTCTTCCCTGTCCGAGTCCGTGTGAGGCTTCCTCGGGCGTGTGTCCACGTGGGCGCCATTCCCACGCCTCGTCTCTGTTGCTCCGCAGGCTCTGCGTGTCTCCCCACCTCACAGCTGCAGCCCCGTCACAGGGGCCCGTCTGCCTGCCACAGGGGAAGCTCAGCCGCCCCGGCCAGCGCTCCGAGCGGCCGCCCACCGGCTCTGGGAGCTGCTCTGAGTTTTAAGACGAGAGAAGACGCCGTTTCCAGCGCCGGGATGTCTGCCTGAGGCTTTTCCCGCTTTGCAGGGGTTTTGGGGGAGAGGGTCTCCCAGAGGGGCGTGCGCACACCAGGGCTCCCTCCGCCTCCGTGGGGGGAGGACGCGTTTGCACGACTTGGAGGTCACCTGTTTCCGCAAGTCCTGGACGGGCCCAGGGGCCAGGCACAGAGAGCCCTGGATGGGGGCAGCACCGCCTGCAGCCTGTGACTCACGTCCCTGTCCCTGCTGTGATGTCGCCCACAGGGGACGTCCCAGGTCTCGGGGGACGGCCAGCAGGACTGGGTGCAGAAGCTACTGAGGAGAGAACCGAGGACACGTTGTATACGGGGCAGAAGCCTGCGGGGTGAGCTCAGTGGCATCCAGGAGGCTTCAGTGCTGGACGACCCCGGGCAGCTGGGTTCATGACGAAATCTCATGGCCCCTCCCCAGAGCGGGGCTTGCCCTCGGGACCTTGCCACCTCCCGGTCAGGCTGGCCATGGCCCATCACACGGCAGCACCCAGGACCTTGGGTACCACATGCCGCTGGACAGGGGGTGCCTCCCCTTCTCAGAGCACATCACAAGCACCAGCAATGCCCCCGGCTCCTGATGGGGACCCCGAGGGACTCCAGGGACCCGCCCCACCCCCCAGACATCCCCCAGCGCTGGACGCATCTCAGTGCGGAGGTCAGCCACGAGGTCACCGCTCCCGACCCCGCTGGCCCCTGGCATCCTGGCCTTCCAGCTGGTAACTGGGTCTGACCCCTCTGCCCCCTGGGCTCACAACACAAGCTCCGTCCCGAGAGAACTGCCAGACATCTGTTCGTTGTTTTTCACCTTCCAAGTGGCTGGTCCCTCCTCAGTGTATCCCAGCCCAGCCCGCCCCTCCCGTCCCTCCATGCAGGCACTAGCCTTTGGGCTTCTCCTGGGGACTTGGACCTTGAAGTGGGGTTCACTCACTGATGCGCCCCAGCTGCCACTCGGGAACGTCTGAGAGCAGAAGGTGCACCTCCAGTTCAGACGCTGCTGCTCCCTCTCGGCCCCCCTGCAGCCACGGGGCCCCACCCCAGGAGATGGCTCTGCTGGGAAACTGGGGAGGGGGCGCGGGGTGGGGGGGGGAGGGGGGGGGGGGGCCTGGGTGGGAAGCAGCCGGGTCTGCAGGCCCTGCCCTGTCGGCTGCTGGGCTGAGCTAAGCACACGTCTCACAGCACAAAGTACCTCCGGTGCCCTCCCTGGCGGGACCCTCTCCGTTTCTAAGTTAATAAATGAATTGAGAACATTCTTGTTTGTTTGGGCTCTGGGGCCCGTCTTGGGGGACACAGTCATGGGCTGACGTCGATGGTCACCCCACCAGGCAGGGCTCGGGGGCTGCCCCTCCTGTTAATGGGGGGCTCAGTCCAGGTCCCACAGGCACCCAGATATCAGGGCTCCCCTTGATGTAGGTTGTTGGGCAGTTGTTTCCATTGGTTCCGACACTGTTCCCCGTTCTCCTGAGAGTCACCATCTCCTGGAAAAGCCGTCGCGAGCGCTCACTTGAGAAATTCCATTCGTCTCCACGCTCCTGCGTATGCGCTCGGGCTCCCAGTGGACACTCATTTGTGTGAAAATAACAAGCGCATTAAGGCGGGCGCGTTACTCCGGGTCGTTATCGCGCAGGCCTGCGCCTGGTCCGTGCCCTCCCAGGAGTCTGAGCTGTGCCCTGGGGTCCAGTGGCGGCCTCTGCAGACGTGTGTGGTCCCGCCAGCTGAGCTCCAGGGGCGCAGTGCAGGGTGGGGGACCCATGGGCGACAGGCCGGCTGGGTTTCGGCCCCAGCTCTCCTTGTATAGGGCTGGCTTCCCTTTGCAAGGTCCCTGTTCTCAGGTACTTAGAGGTTCCCAAACTCCCTTCAACAATGTCCATTTCCTTTGCCCTTTCATATTGCAAGCTTCCAACTAATTTGTGTGTTAGGTTCTAGCCCGGCTGGTGTGGCTCAGTGGTTGAGTGTCGACCTATGAACCAGGAGGTCAGGGTTCAATTCCCAGTCAGGGCACAGGCCAGGCTTGTGAGCTCGATCCCCATTGGGGGTGTGCAGGAGGCAGCCGATAGATGTCTCTCATCACTGATGTTTCCTATCTCTCCCTCTCCCTTTTTCTGAAGTCAGTAAGAAAATACTTTAATTTTTTTTTTTTTACAAAAGGAAAGATTCTAGAAAGAAAAGGCATTCCAAATTTTTGTGGGGAGTCGAAGGAAACCCCGTTAGAAATATGTTTCCCTTTTAGCCCTTTCGCCGGGAGACTCAGCGGCTGAGTTTCAGCGCAGAAGCTGTGCTTTTCCCTCTTGGCCCCGTGCCGCCTCCTCCCATGCCTGGGCTGTCACGCCCGGAGCCACCTGGGGGCCTGGTTGACTGCCATCAGAGGACCCAGCCTCTGTCCACGGTCTGAGCAGCACCCCCTGGGCCCACCCCCAAGCTCCTCGCCGCAGCCGGGCCCCTGTGGGTGCCGGGAGTGTGTGTCAGGTGGCTGGCCCTGGGCCCCTCCTGTGGACACACGAGGCCAGGCTGGAGAGAACGACTTTGTCCAGGCAACTCTGAAGCTGGGGGTGGGGTGGGAAGCTCGGGGACCCTCAGAGGGAAGGGGCAGCTAGGGAGGTCTCAGCTGCTCTGTTCCCAGGAGCCAGTTCCAGTCACTCCCCTCCCCCCAGTCAGCTCTCCCCTCCTGGGACCCTCTCCCCACGCCCCTCCAGATACGGTTTCCCAGGGAGAAGGCAAGGTCCACAAAGGCGCCAGGAGGGAGGCACAGCCCTCAATTCTGTGGGGACTGTTTCCAGCAGCGCGGAGCATCCATTAGCATATGAAAGGAGGCTTGGGGACTGGCCAGGCTGTGACTAGGATACCAGACGGGGCTGGAGACTTGTAGGGGTTGGGGTGGGAAAGGCCCAACCCACATTTCCTGCACTGGGTGCAGAGCAGCTCCTGCCCAGCCCGGCCCCCTCTCCCACTGCGCCTCCTCACAGGACACCCTGGGGGGGGGGGGCGGGGCAGTGCCCACAGGACTTGCCTCAGCATCCTTAAGTGACCCTGACCCGCAAGCTCCCAAGAACAGGAACTGTGGGGAGGGAGGCCTCTGGGAGGGACTTCTCCCTGACCAGGCGACATCCAGGCTACTAGGGGGTGAGGGGCCAGGTCCCCCTGACATGTTCCCTGTCTTATTTCTGAGGCCCTGCAGCTCAGCTGACCTCGATTCTGCTTCCGAGGAAAAGCCAAGACCTGCGCACTGCGTTTTCCCCTTCCCCTGCAAGCTCTTTTCTGGCCTCTTGGCTTCCTTTCATTTCTGACTCAGATTCCTGTCCTGGGCATTCGTTACCAACTTCCTGTCCGGGCAGAGCCGTTGCTGCAACCCAATCTGAGGCGGTTTGTACACCTCGGACGCTCCCTCGGGCACGGGACCCGCGGACAGAAAAACGCCACGTCTGTGACAGCCACTCGGCAGCCAGCTCTGCGCTGTGGCCCAGGCTCCAGCCCAGCAGGGTCCCTGGCGAATGGCGGCCAGGATTCTTGCAGCCCTGAGCGTGCTGTGCGTCTGTTCGGGAAGGAAGGATGGGACCTCCGTGCGCTTCTTGCCTCCCAGACAGAGCCCGTCCCCGGCTCAAACCCAAGGACCACGGGAGGCCTGCCCCACTCAGGAGGGAGGGGGGAGAGGGAAAGAGAAACATCAGTGATGAGAATCATTGATCAGCTGCCTCCTGCACGCCCCCTACTGGGGATGGAGCCTGCAACCCAGGCACGTGGGAATTGAACTGTGACCTCCTGGTTCATAGGTCGATGCTCAAGCACTGAGCCACGCGGGCCGGGCATAGAGGAGACTCTTAAGACATCGGTGCCCTTCCAAGTTCACTGGGAAAGGGAAGGTGCTTGGCACTCTGGCAGGAGTGTCTTCTTCCCATTGTTGCGAGAGGAGCTTGTAAGTGGCAAAGCCGAGATCCCAGGCGGCTTTGCACGGCACCATAGGGCACAGTGCCCAGGGTCCAGGGGGCTTGGGGCCTTTTGCAGGAGCAGCCCGGCTCCCACCAGCGGCTCAGCACAGCCCCTCCGCTGTGGTGGGTGGCAGCGGCTTCTCCGTGGAGCCCGTCTTCTGTGATCAAATCCAGCCAATCCCTGTGGGGCTTGAGGCAAATAAGATTTTTCTTCCTGAATCAGGTTTTGACAGTTGCCCTGTTTGGAGAGTGGGATGGGGTACAGAATACTTGCAAAGAAAGGGTTAGCATCTTTTTACATAGGAGTCTATGGCAAAGGGCATTTTCCACTGCACTGATTTAACTGGACAGAGTTCTGGCACTTGGCACCCCGGGGTTCGGGGTCCCGGCTATAGCAAGAGTGGGAGTCCCCAAGAAGCCACCAGTGCTCCAGGCTCTCCTGGTTCCTGTCCCCAAATGCGGAAATAGGTTCCGCTGAGAGGAAGGCTCTCCTTGGAGTTGGGGAGGGGGTCCCCCTTTACCAGGAACCCAGAGTTATCTCCAGCAAGCCCAGACCCGGACGGACAACCACACACCAGCCGCAGTCAAGACGTAAAGAACATTTATTTTTTTGGAAGGGTTGAGGGGGACTTTACAGAAATCTGAAGCCAATAACTAGACAGGAAGATAAATAAAATACAAAGCCAGTATGTTGTGGCAAAATTCCAGAAAACACACTGAAAAAAAAATCTTTACAGTTTAAAACTGTTTACTTTATACATAATTACAAATGCATATACAGCACGTGGGTTTCACCCCTTACTTAGTGGGATTCAGCACAGAAATGTTCACACAGGGGAAACACGAATGAGCAGACGCAGGTGTGCGCGGTCACCTCCTGCCTGTCCCGGCGGCCCCCGCGCCCCCACGGGGTGCGTGACACCCAGGAAGCCACAGGCTGAGCCATGACCACAGGGCGTGGCCCTGTCGGTGCTCTCGCTGCCCTTCCTGTCGGGCGGCTGCAAAAGGCAGAGGTGACAAGCGGGGTGCACAGGCCGGCTCCGGCTGGGTGTCGGCAGCGGCTCAGCAGGGTCTGCGACAGGAGAGCCTGGCCCACTTGCGTTTGCCCATCTTTGAACCTCACGAGATGGAGAAGTCATTCGAGGCCTGTCGTCTTTGCATAAATTCAGTTAGAGGAGGACATGGGAAGAAGCAGCCTGTGTGTGTTTTTCCTATTATGGCCGCATTATAACATTGTCATCCTAACACCTGGCCGGCAGGCGGTCCGTCCCAAGGCTCTGGTTAAGGAGGAATGTCACGCTGCGTTGGAAGAAAGAGGAAGCAGCCAGGCCAAGCACGCTGTGCCCCTCCCCGGTCTCTTCAGGCCAACGAGCGCCAGGGCCCGGCTGGGACCCGGCCAGTCAGGACCACAGCCGTGTTGTCCAACGGCCCCGCTGCAGGGGCAAGGCACACCCACCCTCTGCCAACCACCGTCCCTGCAGGCTCCGTTCTGGGCCCCGCGTTCCAAGCGCACCCGAGCATGTGGAGGGGGTCGATGCCCTGCGGCAGTGTCCCCTCCAAGCCACCCTCTTTGTGGCCCTGGAGCCCCCTCACCTGGCCCCTCTCTCTACACCCCTCCCAGGACTCGGCTGTCCTCTGGCACAACTGCCACCATCGACACGGGAGTAAATGCGGCTCCAAGGTCCACACTCAAACCCTCAGGAGAAAGAACTCGGAGACGGAGGATGAAGGAGGAGCGACTTCTGGACCACGGTCTGGCCTCTAAGGTCATGTACGGTCCCAGCTTTTCTTAAGGCAGAGCCCATTCTGTTAAACCCTATGCGCTCTATTCCCGCCCCAAAAAGGCCCCACAAAGCCCCAGGGCCTCACACTATGCTCACTGCTGCTAATGCCGGGCTTGGGAAGGTAACAGTAAGGGAGCAAGTGAGCAAAGGGACAGGTTCCAGTGGTATTGCCCTGAGACTTAAGAAGAAAAAAGGTAAGATTCGTACCTTTTCCAAAAAAATCTTGACACAGATTTCTTGCCCACATACAGCTTAGGGGGTAGGAGGGAACGTTGGCAAAGGTTGAATTGTGGCCATTTGCGTGTTTTTAACCTTCTGCGTTTTCCAAGAAGGAAACAGTTGACATAGTTGTCACAAAAGCGAAGCCAGCTGGCGACAGCATGAAAAGTGCACAGGTCACCCAGGCAGGATGACAATTACCGAGATGACATAATGGAGAGAAGGTACCCCTCCTTCCAGGAAACTCATTAGATTCTGGAGACCTGGGGACTCTGGAAGGTGTCTCCCTCATCCCCCCCAAAACTTAAACACAATGCTGGGCAC